AATTCATTTCCGTACTAGTGTATGGCCAGCTTTGGCTGTGTTGTCTGGCAGAACTGTGTAAATCATGTCATGTTGGAGTTTATAGATCGTTTGACAGGTAACATGGCTAACATATATGTACAGTATTTTGTCTGCATGGTTAGCTGTTTTTTCCCTGGGGTACAGCTTTATCCTTTCCCTACCAACACTTCATGTTCTCCTTACTTTATAAGCCGACCCACCCATTGCTAACAATTTCGCACTGAAAAGTAACCTTGTCGAGATGGTGGTCCCAAAAACTAATAAACCAATTTGGCTTCTTTCACACTACCTCCTTCTAGTGTTTGGGAGCACTTTGGATTTTCAGAATGCCTACTGAGCTCTCCTTTTTGAACGTTTGTATAAGTGTATGAGACTTGGTAAGGTACAAGCAAGCATTTTATGTATTATCTTTGAAAGGAGGTATAGTAGAGTAGGGGATCTTGTACATTCTTCAACTGGGTGGAGGGCCTCTTGGAAAGAGTCGGAGGGATAACTGTCATGTAACAAATGCTAGCCAAGGGCAGGTGAAATTCTTCTGCTCTGGCATGTGGCATTGTTTTTGTTGTCTTTATCATCTAAACTCCAACTGTAATTTTTTTTAAGTACAATTTTGAAAGTAGAATTTTACAGTGTGTTTAATTAGACTTGATTAAACATACTACTCTGCCTGATTATGAGCACAGCAACAAGCACGTGTCTGCTCCAGATTACACAAATCAGTATGAACCCTAGAAAATCCCATTGGATTAACAGCAGAGAAAAATCCGTGTCACTGGATTAACCCCTAGAGAAAAGGTTTGCTTAATTTCACAAAACAAGAAAATAGAAAAAATGTAGTGACGGTCATGCACTGGGAGCGGCATTGCCATGAATTGTATGAGGAAGTTTTGCTGTCACATTCATAAAATAGTTTCTCAGGGGTTTGCAGAAGTATGGTGTTTTCATTCATCACCTTTCACATAGTTAAATGATCAGGTAAAAAAATGCCTGAATTGTTTAGGCATTTGTGAGACATTTTCTGCTTTCTTACACGTGGACTTACAGGGTGAGTTGGTTTTTGGTGTTAGAATTGCAGGTTTATCCAGATGTCTAGGTGTATATAGGTACTCTATATGCATATATTTATGCATATAATGGTGCAGCTACTGTGTGGCTACATTCTTAGTAAACTGGTATACAATTACAAAAATACTCTAGTTGGTCATGTTTTGTGTAGGATATTATGCACAGTTCAAAATGCATAAGTATTCATAAATCGTAGAAGTGCATCTAATTTCTTAAGGGAGAAGAAGAGCCAAAGCTTTTTAGGCTATACTTCTATGGGTCACAGGAGTGCAGGTAGTTCAGCACTCCTGTGACCCATTTTCAACTGACAGTGGGCTGAAGCCTGAAAAGATCCGGACCATACGGTCGAGATTCACCCAGAACCCTGGACCTGCACCTGGCTTAGCCTCTCAACATTCCGTGGAGGCCCTGAGCCAGTCCCTCCTGCCCCCTTCACAGCCCAGCACTCCAGTGAGCGCTGGGGCCAGAGCAGAGAGTCGGAGACTGACAGTCACAACTCTCTACCTGGAGCAGAGGGGGAGAACTGCATGTTCACTGTGTTTAATCGCTCAGTTCTCTGTGCAGAACCGGCAGGGGACAGATGCAGCATCAGATTAATGACGCATCCACTTGTTTGTTAAGGTTTTTTTTTCCAATACCCCGTACTTCTCTTTTAAAGAAGAATTCAAAGTATGTGATATTTTTACACCCCTCACTTCAAGGGTTAAATACTCCACTTCTTTAGGGGTGTCTGACAGACGTTCCTACCCTTCTAGAGTGACTGAAATTGGCTATAAAAAAGTTGAATTCAAGGTATAGGTATTTTTACATAGTTACATTGATCCAGCTTGGCCCATATGCAGCTATAGGCACCACCACTCCATTGATCCTCACTATTTTCTGGGTCTTGTGCTAAGCTGCTACCCTGCTACATTTTGAACAGAGGTGTTTGCTTGCTTGGCGCAGGTGCCATTCATTTTCGCAATGCAAAATATTCTCTGATTGGACAAGGTGGAGATTATGTCAAAGCCCTGCCTCTCCACCTTATCCAAGTCAGAAAACACTTATTCATTGAGAAAATGCAAGGAATTCTCTGAATGACGCCCCTGCTGAGTGATCTACCTCTTGTGTTCATAATGCAGCAAGGCAGCTGTTTGGCATGGGATTCTGAAGCTAGTGGAGATCACTGTAGTAGGGGGGAGTACCACAGTGATTTCCAGCTTCCAGGAGCATCGCGCAAGTATGGTATATGCATAGTTATATTGGTCCAAGCTGGACCAATGTAACTATTTAAAAATATCTATACCTGGAATCCATTTTTTCATTATAGCCAACTTTAGCCACTCTACAAGTCTCCCCTAGTTATGATGAATATTTAACCCTTAAAATGAGGGGAGCCAGTGCAAGTGCATTTTCATGCTCCAGCCTGGAGTTCAGCTTTAGCATGAACCTATGCTTTGCCCACAAAGGAAAAAGCTACTGGTTTGCTTTAATATAGTCTTCCCCAGTAGCATTTACTTACCTTTCTGTTGTTGGCCTTCCACTGTATTCAGCCATTAGGAGTGAAGGTAAGTACAAGTCGCTGGAGTCCTAGAATACACAGGGCTACGTTCTTCCCTGCACTGTCACACCATTGAGAGGCACTTGCTGATGAGTATTTTATTTTGGCTCCGTTCATAATTCTTTTAAATAGCACCACAGTAAACTGTTACAGTAGCAGGCAATGCACCCAGACCTTAGTGCACTATAATGTACACTCACCGGCCACTTTGAGGCACACCAGTTCAATTGCTTGGCAACACAAATTGCTAAATAGGCCAATCACATGGCAGTAACTCAGTGCATTTAGGCATGTGGATGTGGTGAAGACGACTTGCTGAAGTTCAAGCTGGCCATCGGAATGGGGAAGAAAGGGGATTTACGTGACTTTGAACGTCAGTGACACTGATGTTGGTACCAGGCAGGCTGTTTTGCCCAACCATTTCTAGGGTTTACAGAGAATGGTCCAAAAAAGAGAAAATATCCAGTGAGCAGCAGTTGTGTGGACAAAAATGCCTTGTTGATGTCAGAGGAGGGGAATGCGCAGATTGGTTGCTTTGACATGCAGATGGTGGGGTCAGAATTTGGCATAAACAACATGAAGGTATGGATCCATCCTGCCTTGTATCAACGGTTCAGACTGGTGGTGGTGTGATGGTGTGGAGGATATTTTCTTGGCACTAGCAAGGTGTACCTAATAAAGTGGCCAGTGAGTGTACATTATGTGCACATTGTTAGAAAAAACGTTTGCGTCTGATATGGTGAATGATGCCTTCAGCAAATCTAGTACTTCACCTTGAATAGGCAAAGTAAAAGTCTGCGTTAAGTTTGTACTGTATTTTTGTATAGTTTTTTTTTTATTTTAAGAGAAGTTTCCTGTTCAAAACAAAAGAGTTTTTAAATAAAGTTGAGTAAAGCAATATTTATTTGTAGCCATTCATTTTCCTGAAGCAGTTGGATCATTTTAATGCTTTTGTGATTTGCATTCGGTATTTGCTGTCCAAAGTCCAAACAATAGCCTGCAGTTTGTTCCTGTTTATCTGCTTTGCCTGATCCCTGATGGGTGAGGTTTGTAATGGGAGTTGTTTTTCTGGAAGAATGCATAGAATACATGATACTTCACAGCCTCTATTATGGTTTCTCTGTATTTGTAACAGTAGAAGAAAAAGTTGCCTGATATATCCTTATACTTTCTTAATAGAGAGCTTGCTTTCCCTTTATTTTGGTCTATTCTGTTTTACGTTTACAATGTACATTTTATATACAAATATGACTAAAATACTACTATATAATTTACCATGAGATAATTGAGACTATAGATTGCCAGTGAACACCAAAGATGTCAGCATTCATGGTTCACTCCACTCAAAATTGAAAACCTGGATTGAAAGTCACACAATGGCAACTTTGTTTTGGTTTTTTTTTTGTTATTTTACTTACTGTTACCACAAACTGAAAACATGATTTGATACCTATCCTACACTCTTAGATTGTAAGCTCCCAGGATCAGGGCCCTCCTAACCCTCTTGTATTGAATTGTATTGTTGCTGTATTGTCTCCCTTTATATTGTAAAGCGCTGAGCAACTGTTGGCGCTATATAAATCCTGTACAATATAATAATAGGTTTTAATCCGCATTTTTTTGGCAGTGGTGTTTTCTGGCTGGAAACATAACCCAGAACTAGTGGGTTTCAAGAATATTTTTAGTTGTAAAAATGCTCTAATGCTGGTAAATGCAGTAAACCGGTATTTTTAAGCATTCTTGAGACAAATTTTTGTTTTGTATGTGTAAAAAAAAAAAAAAGTGGCTAAACGCGAATGTAAAAAACGCAGATAAACTTGTGTTTTTAACGTGAATGTACACAGCTAACGCTACCAGCGTTTTTTTAAAATGCCCAGTTTGCAGGAGGCCTCAGTACATGTTCCAATCTATTTACAAATGCTACATTTCAGGTTACAGTAAATGGTGTATTGAGTGATGTACCAAACTAGAGCATTGGAACTTGAAACTTTGCAACTCTTGGGCTCTTCTGTTTGTTGTGCCAGTGATTATCTACGGCTCATTAAATACCATGCTCTGAGCAGTTGTACCTATTAAAATTTTAACGTTCAGATGGACTGAGTTATTCTTGTAAGGTCACATTGTTTCTTTCAGAAATGTTATTAGCCAAGAAGAAACACCCCAAGACATTATTCAGGAGTCACTTTTCCTAATATGTTGCAGTTGTTGGCTACCTTTAAAAAAAAAAAAAAAAAAAAAATTATAAAGTCACATCTGATACTGATAACATATAATTTATCATTATTTCATATTCTAATCCTAGCTGTTCAGCATGTTGTAGCCCATTTCATGATGATCCTTCCTGTTCTTTGTTGCAGTGGATGGATGTGGACACATGGTTATCAATGAAGAGAGTGGAACATTGACATCGAAGAACTATCCTGGCACGTACCCCAACTACACCCTGTGCTTAATAAAAATCAAAGTGCCTGCTGGTAAAAGCCTATACCTAAAGCTGGCAGATCTGGATATCGAATCCCAAGACTGTGAATCTGCTTATCTCAAAATATACAAAGGAACATCTGATGAAGAAATTGGTGAGTCTCTGGCCTTTCTGCCTTGCTAGCTTGCTCTGAAACTGGTCCACTTACTTTTTTATAATCTTTTTTTATTTAAGACGCAAGTTAGATCTTTGTAGTCAGGTGCTGTATTCAAGGCTGCTGTTAGAAACCACGGGGCCCCATTCAGCCAACTTGACAGGGCCCTCCACCCCAACAAAAAACATTTACTAAGCTTTATTTATGAATGAACACTGAGCAATTGGTACCAATCGGTCATTGTGTTCATTCAGGAAAAGAAGGTGGTAAATGTGACTTATTTACCGGACCTTTCCCCCACTCTCCATCCTGAAGGATCCTATTATGTGCTTGCAGCGGCTGATGGGAGGGAGAGGGGGAAGTCGGCAGCACTGCAAGCTTGGGGGCACAAAGGGGAAACTGGCAAAGTGAAAAGTTTGGTGCACAGGTAGGGTGATGGGTTCAATGAGAGGGCAATTACTGGAACTGATCCCCTGTATGGTTTACTCAGCAGCTGCTGAAAGCAAGAAGGGAGAGGAGAAGAAGCCAGATTTCAGCTGCTGCAGGGAGAGCCATACAGGGGATCAGTTCCAGTAATTGCCCCTCCTGCCATACCGATCACCTTCCCTGCCCACATCAGATTCACCCAGCTGCCTGGGCCCCATACAGGAGGGCTGGTGGTACCCCCTTATCCAGGGTCCTGGCTGTATTAATGGGAGAAAATACACAAGGATAATGTCTTATGACAACAGAAATTATTAGCCTTGGATGCTTAGTTCTAGTGGGATTTTTCTTGCTTGTGTGTAAAATTATACAGAAAGATGGCACTGTCTTTTCCCCTTACAATGCACTATGTGGCTAAGGGAGAAGAACATGAGATGAGAGAAGGAACCCCATCTACCATTGTATAGGTATTGCCTCAAACAATGGATAATCATTTCTTTATTGGAGTGTTTTTGTTTTTTTTTAACATCAGTCTTGTGATTGAAGTGTGACACACTTGATCATTTCCTCTTTTGTGTCTGCGCTCTTTACATATGTCTGTCCTTTTAAAGTGGTTGTAACCCCTTACATATACCCAGTGAAGTGACTTATCAGCAGTCTTCTCTTGTCTACATACAATCAAAGTGCTGAATTATTAAAGCTTGTCTCAGAGTTCAGCAAAAAGGGGGTGGAGAGCTGAAGTTACAATCTGCAGAGCTCAGTGAGGAGTGCTCTGCGAGCTGATTGGAAGGAAGAGACACACCCCCTGAACACAGCACTCAGGAACAGAGCTGTGGCTTTCAATCTGCTGGAGATCCCTCCCCAGTCACCATTTTTCTATTGGTGTCAGACATTCTTGCTGATAGCAGAGGAATTAAGCAGCAGACAGAAATGGCACTTTGTGCTCTTTATTGAGACAAGGACACACTGTAGAGCAGGGGTCTCCAAACTATGGCCCTCCAGCTGTTGAAGTACTAAAAGTCCCATCATGTCTCTGGGAGTCTTGCCTGTGGCTGTCAGAATCTTGCAAGGCTTCATGGGACTTGCAGTTCCTCAATACCTGGAGGACCATAGTTTTGAGACCCCTGCTGTAGAGAGATATGATTTGTTCATATTTCATGTCTGAGGTTTACAGCCACTCTAACTAAACTGTCTTTAAACTCCTACAACCAGGTAAAGGCGGCCAGGAGGGTGGGATTTAATGCCCACTCACTTCATATATGCATCCATGGAGGTCAAACGTTTGTATGCTGAGAGGGTGCCATTGTGCACTCTCAGCGCAGCAACCGAGCTGTTACACAGCTCCCAGTCTCTGGCTACAATTGGGAGCGAACAGGATAGGTTCCAGGTTATGTGACCACAGTAACAGCCAATCCCAGTGATCATGTGATCGGAAAGTCTGTCTCGCCACTCAATATAAAGGCCAATTTAAAACTATACTAAGAAAAGGGGTGAAAAATGAAGACTACCCATACATAGCCTCAAAATTGCAAGGGATGTAACCAATGTTTGACTTGTTTTCATTTTGAATGTACAACTTGCTTCAGTTGGGAAGCTGTCAGGCTGTAGAGTCAACTAGAGCACTTTGAATGCACACATTCTCCAGAACTCTGAAAAATCTCCGTGCAGCTAGAAACCAATCATTCTGTTTGCTATGAAGAAAAGGAAAAATTGCTATTCTAACACTTTTGCTTTCTGGCTGGTGGAATGGACATCTAGAACCCAATATGGCCCCTTTCCAATAGTGTACTCAACAGTCATGCTGAGGAACAAGCCAATTAGGGTTTTTTAGTGGGCAGTGAGCTTTTCCAGAAGCTTTTCAACTTGTTGATAAGCAGATCCAAAGCCAAAACATGTAATTTATTGCAACTTACCAGTCTTAGATTTGCTAGCTGTATTTTATTTTCCGCTATTTTCACTTGGTGATCCTGTCAGAAACACACTTCTGTCCTAGGCCAGCCTTTTTCAACCAGGGTGCCTTAAGGTTTCTTCAGGGGGTTCCCTGGCAAAATGTCTAAAAACTTGTATACAAGCTAGAGGGTGGAACAAGCCGGCCTTTTAGTTACATAAAGCCACAGGTTTTCATTGTGCACCATTACAACCTTCTAGCCGCCAGCATCCTGACAACCAATGACATCATCAGTAGATAAGGAGGAGGTCAGCTGCCTGCACAGAATCCTAGTTTGACCCTCCCCATCCATCTCCATCAGTGCTGGGGTCACATTAGCTTAGTGATGGAGAAAAACTTAGGGAGAGGAGAAACACTGGAATACTAGTCTGTACCAGTGTGCATAAGTGTATTTGCTTTGGAAGAATAAATCACCTCTAGTGTTGGGTGTCCTACATGTGTGGATGTTGCTGCATTATATAAACTATTAGAATAGTCTTTAACATTATTGACAGTCTTGAGGCACCCTGTTCTAAAATGTGAAAGGGTGCCTCAAGACTGCCCATAATTTTAAAGGGTGCCTTGACTGAAAAAAGGTTGAGAAACACTGTCCTAGGCTATCAATACTCATTCACCATGCTGTATCTGTGGAGGAGCAGCATTGTCACTACAAAGGCTCTTCTCATTCTCATTATATATGGGGGAGATGTTCTGTAGTTCACTGAAAATAGCTGAGAAGGCCAATAACATTGTTCGAGATCAGTATAAAGCAGATCTTCATCCTCATTAGGATGTTGTCTCCCATCCACCCATCCTCCCCTCAAATTGGCTTTATTTATTTTAATTTAATGAAAACACTCTGCCCCTTCCCTTCATGTACATCACATTTCCCAGGAGGCACAGTCCTTCATCGAAAAAAGGAGATGGGGGTAGGCCAGCCAACGCATCATCAGGACGCCACCAGCTGGACCCGGAAGAGCTGGCAGCTTCCCAATGACATCACTAAAGAAGATGGTGGCATGGTACCAAGCGGAGGCAGAAAAGAAGCAGATCTCAGCAGGACTATGCTGGATCTGCTGAGTGGGTAAGTACCTTAAATGTGCAGGACCTGAAACTGGTAAAGAGGGGTTTAAAAAAAAAAAAAAAAGGGGTGGGGGGATCTGCTTTAATGCAAAGGAAGATACAGAGACAAAAGGTTTCTGGCAGGATCAGCAAGTACTTGTGCTTGCAGAAATTCTACTAACGAATCCAGGCACCACATCTAAGGACTGTTAAGCTGAAATACTTTACATTTCTGCTAGGGTTTAAATTTATTTTAAGAAGTAAAGGTAGGAAAGTGGGTCTCTATTGCAAATGATCTGAGTCCCAGAGACGTTTGTGTCAGGTCCTGTGAGGTTTGACAAAAGGTGGCTATCTCACAAAACCTATCAAATTATCATGTTTGGCAAACCTCTTTCCCTAAATCCAGAAAATGAGATTAGAGACCAACTGCGCATTATATCCCTAACAATTAATTAACACTTAACAGGTTGCGTGCTGAGCTTTAAGCATCCTAACATATGTCATCTTGCCCTTACGTGACCTTAATTTTCATTTCTGCATACTCTGGTCTGCAGGTCTTTGTCCGTCTGAGCCTTCAGTAACAGCTGTTACTGCTGCATTTATATTGGTTTAATGACAAGATTCTGGACAGACGAACATTTATGTTTTTACGATAATTTGATGTTTGACCAATAAAAGCATAATTAAACTGTTTTAAACTGTAAATTAAAGTATCCAGCTTTTAAAGGAACGTTCCCTATGTATAGAGGTATTTCTCTTGGTTCTCGGTCAATTGATTGGTCGGTGGTTGAGCCATGGTTTAACCACCACCCCCACCACCACTACCACCACCACCCCCCCCACCACCACTACCACCAACTTCCTCCCAGTTCTGATGACTAGCTGCTTACTTGTTGCCAGTATATCCGCAAAACATTTTTAAAAATGTAGGCAAATTTGTCAAAACCATTCTTGGTTTATTAGAATTGCCAGATACATTGATCTTTAAAGTAGAATTCCTGGAAATGGTTTGTAATTCTGTATTTTCAATCTTCTGACTTCCCCAAATCCACCACACTACACAGCCAGAAAGATCACTCTTTTACGTCCTACTACAGCATAGTCACAATTCGGCAATAGCCGATGTTATTGTCCAGTAAGGAGACCGGAGGCTGAACATGGAAAAGTTTGTTACCTGCTGTGCTGTTCAGTGTGGAAAAGGTGTGTAAATCACACGACTGACTGAACAGAATTACTGTACTAATCGTTTTGCAGATAAAGCTGTATACAAGTATGTGTATTTCAATTCTGTATTTAGCCGTTTGTCTGGAGTTCTCCTTTAAGAGATGTTCATGTTTGGGTAAAGTTATTCCTGGACAAAGGATGGTTTCCTGTTTTTCATCCATGTGTGATGTAAGGAATCTGAACAAAGATATGGTCATATTATAAGTTTGCTGTGCATTGTGTGTGTCCATGGCAGATATTTATAGCGGATGTTACTGTCCCAGTCTTCTTTTGTCTCAGGAAGCCGAATTTGTCATACACATGTGTTATTAATATCGGTTGACTGCAAACGTGCAGGTTGTATGTCATAGATCTGGTTAAC